TTTATCCTAGAGAAAAAGAAATGCAGGGCTCCAACATTTGGCCACTTGGTGTCAACTACATGGACACCGTCTATCACCCATGGGAAAAAGCAATAGAGTGATGGACTATGTGGAAAATTTCTCTACTGGCTGAAAAACTGGGCGGGAACTTTCAAATGGCGGGCGGAAAACCAAAATCAAGCAGCTTGAAGTGCTCGTTTCTATGTCATGATTCAAGCTCGAGCTCGACTTTTGAGCTCAACTCGAGTTCAAACTCGATATTTGACTTGTGAGTAGAGGTCGAACACCTCTGACTCGAGCTCAACTCGACTCGTTTACACCCCTAGGCATGATGAATCATCTAGCTTATATAATCAAGGAAATTATATATAACTATTTTAATTTCTTACAAATCACAATGAAGTAAAAAAAATAACATTTGAAAATGTAGATGTTAAGTTAAAATTGATTGCACCGAAAGCATAAAAAAGCTTTGTAGTTGTATAGCTACTAAAACCTTGGTTATAATCATTAAAGATATTGATGATTCCTACTTTACTATTCATGTTGATGAGTCTCATGATGTGTCCATAAAAGAATAATTTTCTATGGTGATGAGATATGTAGACAAGTTGGGCCAAGTAATTAAGTGGTTCATAGGTGTTAGTTATGTTTCTTCAACAAATACATTAACACTGAAGGCATCACTTAAAGCACTTATTGCAAAACATTCATTAAGCATACATGGAATATATAATCAAGGTTATGATAGATCATATAATATGCAAGAAGAGTTTAATGATTTAAATGCACTCATACTAAATTCTAAAAGATATATAATCCTCAGGCATTGTGCATTTATTATTTTGCTCACCAACGCTAATTATCCTTGGTGGTTATAATAAAGAATCATTGACAAGTAAAGCATTTATTCGAGATAACTTTAAGAATTCTAAATACCATTAGAAATTCATGCAAGAGAAATAATACTCTAAAAGTAATTCAACGTGAAAAAATAATTTTTCATATAAGCACTAGGGAGTTAATTAGTGGTCGAGATTTGAACAAAGAAACTAATTTACAATAAGATGGTGACACATGTTGGAGTTCACATTTTCAAACCTTTATTATTTTGATGCAAATGCATTTTGTACTCAAAGTACTTAAAATTATCAAGGAAGACAAGATACATGATCAATAATTATTTGAAGTTGTTGTTTTAATACAGGTTATAAAGTTTTTTGACCATGTATTATGCATTTTAAGATTAATATTTTGGAGATTACAAATGAATTATTACAATCCTAAAAAAAATAATCAATATATTATAAATGCAATGAAATTGGTGCAAGTGTTTAAGCAATAATTGTAGATAATGAGGGAAAATGGATTTGAGCCTTTATTAGAAGAAGTGTCATATTTTTGTAATATTTTTATATTGAAGTTTCAAATATGAATATTATATATATATGAAATTAAAATAATCATTTACCAGTCTCCGCATATGCTTAGTATGAGGCACTAAACCACCCGTGTGAAGAGAGCTTCCTAAATCTCCACAGTCAAATACTCTATTATGCTTGTTCTATTCTCTCAACATTGTGAACTCGGGATTGGCCCAAGCTCTATTCAAATCACCCCATATGCTCTCTTCAAGCTATAATAGACGCTCACCTAACTTTCTAATGTCTATAAACATATTCCTAAGATTAGTATAATTTCTTCTTTCAAAATTGGTTCTGATCCTCACAGCATGTTTAAGAACCATCTAAATTTTTTTTGTATAATATTGGCACAATAAAAAATATTAATATAAAAATAATCACAAATATTAAGTAATGTCAAAATTACATACCTAAATTTTTATGAACCACATATCCATAGTATTGTTGGTCAATAATTCCCCGCGGTTTGGTTTTTATGACAACAATTCAATCTTAATTATCTCTACGACCACTAGGATATTTGTTAAAATAAACTTACATAGCTTGACTTGCTAGCACAAACGGATCAAACTTCATGTAACTTCTACTATATTTAACCTCTACTATACCATATGTAGGATGAACTCTTGTGCCTCTATTTGGTATAAGATCGTACCATTAATAATTGAATAAACATACTAGATTCCCATCTTCTCCGGGGTATTATAGCTCAAGAATCTCATTTAGAATACTGTAATAATCGCATTTACCTTATTCATAAGTGTTCCCTCTAACACAAACTAAACAATTTTAGTCTTTCTTCCCTCGCTACATGACTTCAAATGAAATATAAATCCATTAACTATATAAATTGGACATGTATTTACTTTTCTCATTAGTCCCCATGCAAGTGCTTGCAGCCCTTTGGAGAAGACCTTGTTACGAGGGTCGTAAACCTAAGAAAAGCTGGAAAATTTATGGCTTTTAGTATTTAATAAGATATAAATTTATGAAATATTATATGTTTTACTTATGTATGATCTAAATCATGTTGGGAATTCATTTGTTATAACTTGCTCAACAACTGCAATATTTGTTGAAGGCAAACTGCTTACGAAAAATCTGAGAACATATCATCTAACTTACACTTGAGAATTAAAAATAAGCATTATTTCTTATGTACTTTATGAAAGAACTGACTCTAAGATAGGTTGGACTTCATTACAATTTAGTAACAAATATAAACTTGTTATTTTCATTTCCTAATCAATGAGGAATCTTGTAACACATTTTCCAATGGCCTTTCCATTCATTCTAAACTGACAGTGAAGATTGCGATTGTTCTTTGATATCGAAGTTCATGTTACGACCAAATTTTGTTCTTGTACTTCTCATATGGGGCTCGAAATAGTAAGAACATAAGTGGGTGATTTCTTGAGCCAAATATGCTTCATATATAGATCATTTTTAACGTGCTTTATTCTTTACATATTTTTTAAACTTGTTTAAATATTTATTTAAACATGAGAATAATATGATAGAAATAGAAATGTTGAAGGACTAGTGCATTAACCAAATTTCACATCTCTAAAAAGGATAAATCTAACTATATTACACTAGCCCTCCAACTCTAGCCTCATAAGATATTTGTATAGAAAGATGTTCCATAAAATCAAAGAATCTGAGAGAAAATTTTCCTTTCTTCTAGCTTACATAGAATGATTGGTATATTTTCCTCACTCCTCCGTAAAGCATCTTCATTTAGTTTAGATAAACATAAGCCTGTGAAGAAAAGGCTAAGCTTTGTCAACAAATTTGACATGTAATCTGATAACAAACTCAATATAATTAGAAAGAGTGCCTCCACAATAATTCGACAGTCATGACTTTTTAGTCCAAATAATCTCAAAGATTTAAGGTCCACGCATCGGCTAAAGTTTGATCCATAGCCATCAAGCATTTTTAAACTTTGAAATCAATGACATATTGATCTTCTTTGTTATAATGTGTACGAGAATGATGCTTTGGACTTAAATATTCTTCCATTATTATTTGTTACTATTTTTTTTCTCCTGCAATACTATTTAATGTTCATTCTAACCTTTATATTATCCTTAGTCTTACATTTAACATCCATGATCGTATTAAAAATATTATTAAATATGTTCTTCTTAATATACATAACATCCAAAATGTCTTATCAAATTTATACTCCAATAAAATAATGCCCGAATATATATATATATTTTTAATCCAATTATATTGAACATCATATTCAGGAACTTTACACTATGGTACTATTGAAAAATCAATAATTGCAGCAATGTCAAAAAGTCTTTGTAATATGTTAGAACCATTTAATCTATGTGGAGGAGGTGACCTCTCAACCCTATTTCTGAGTAATGCATCCTTGTTTCTTTTAAATGGAAGATCAGAAGTCAATAATATATGGTGACAATCAAAACGAGTATATTTTTTCTCCATGTTTTATGATGAAAGATTTGGTATTCTCCAAACAGTAAGGGCAAGCTAACTTTCATGTTGTACTTCAACCAAGCATAAGGCTTCCTTTGAAACAATTTTTTAATTATTTCTTAAAGCAGCTTTTCAGTACAAAAATTTTAATTTTTATATTAAAAAGCTGTTTTAAGTAGTAAGAAAAGCATCACAAACAAAACCTAAAAGTTCGTTGGGACAACTGTAGCTTTTTATAAAGATAATTGCAAAAACCTACACTATTAAACATGTCACTCCTTGATAAATTGATTTGAAAATCAACTACCCCAAACCATTGGATCTATTACCAGATTTCAACCTAATTCTTTCTAACTCTAAGACTAATCATAGTAATCGTCGATCCAATTTTATTTAGGAGATATCTAAAGTTTCAACAGCTTTTATTTTCAATATCTCTTGAAAATTTGATAATGGAATAAGTATCAACTTTTAGATAGACATTTGGACCAATAATTCCCTTCTAGCGTATCAATTTTATGAGCTTTTGCACTTTGCTAAAATTATTAAAAATTTTAAAACATTAATTTGGCTTCTCTTCTCTCTTTTACTAAAGATGAGCATGAGTTCTAGAATGGGATCATCCCTTTTAATCTTCATGATACCGAGGAATCTTTTTTATCCATTATCAAAATTGATTACGGTTAGGGGCGTACGTGAACCAAGCTGGCTCGAGCTTGATTCGTTGATGGGCTCGCAAGCCAAGCTTATCCAGCTCACAAGTCGAGCTCGTTTAGTAAACGAGCTCGAGCTGGCTCTGCTCATGAGCTCGCGAGCTTGCTCGAATATTAAAAAAAATCATTTTATTTTATTTATTAAATTTAAATACTTTAAAAAAAATAAGAACAACTTAAATTTTATTTAAATGGTAAACATTGCATCTTTTTTTTAAATCATGCCTAAATTTTAAAAAACCGCTTCAGTTTTAAAAATTACACCTAAGTCTTATAAATCCGGCTTAAATTTTAAAAATCCCATCAATGGCTTGTGAGCCGGCTAGAGCTCATTTACAGTGGGACGAGCTCGAGTTTGAGCTCATTGTCCTTCTGACGAGCCGAACTCGATAAGGCTAAACTCAACTCATTTACACCCCGAATTACGGTCATTAAAATTTTCAAAATTTAACATTTCAAAGCAAAATGGTGATCAGCATGCCTCAATGGAATACTGAAATGGTGAGATTTCAAAACTTACATGCATCAAGAGACCACATTACATTCCTTCAACAATAACATTGAAGCTTTCACAATGATCAGTCTCAAGAGCAAAGGCTTCGGCAAAATACTACAAAGCAAAACGACTGCCATTCCCATCTAAAAACTGGTCAGTGTACCATCCTCTGGACTTAACTTCAGAGAGAAATGAGGGGAAAATCTTCTCCATTTTTTTATAAGCAGCATTCATAGCTTCCTCTTCAGACAAGTCGACAAGCTCTCTTTCTTTAGAAAAGGCAGCCACCAGCCACCCTCTCAGTGCATCTTCTCCACTTGCACTGTTCTCCAGAATCATGTCAATGTGCTTCTTCTTGCGGTGGATCAGAAATTTTTCACCTGGAAATAAAGCTCTCAGCAGTTCAAAATTTGAAGGGCTTTTTACCACTTTGCAAAATGGCTTTCCCACGCTGACACTTCCAGCTTCCTCTATGATTCGATCTGGAAACAGAAGATTTTCTCGATATCTAATGTCGGCGGGGCTTGACACTCTTCCTGTCTGAGAAAGATAGATTTGATAAGGTTAGTACAGTTAATCTGTTCATCTTCCTGGATAAGGTGGGTAGGCGATGGTGCTCTCACAGTTAAGAAATCAGCAACAATCATGGCGGTTCTCTGGGGATTTAATGTGTTCACTGGAGCTGCCCGCATTTCTTCTTTGACACTATAGATATGTATGGCAGAAAGCAGAGGAGCAATAATCAGCTGCAAGAAGCAATTCAAATCAATTACATTATGGATATGATGCCAACATAGTATTGTCCACAAAATACAAGCCCAAAGGCCAATCCATTTCACACTCAAACCTATGCAAAAATAAAATCTTGGGAGGAAAATATGGAAACCTATTTTGATGTTCCTTGGTCAATCTAAAATGGGGTGATACATGAAGAGGTTGTAAGTTGGGTGTAGGAGGAAGTAGCAATTGGAGGAGCTCAAATAGTAGTTTAAGTGAGCTTAACAAGATGCATTTAACCTCATGTGGAAGAGAAATTATTCTGTTCGGTCACCGGACCGTCGGGAGGCGAATCAGAATACATCACATCACCCGGTACACAGTAAAAAGGTGATATGGCGCGTCCTCATTCGCCCGCACGGAATAATTTTTCCATGTAGAGAGATAGGGCGAGAGGGGAGGAGGATTATGCTACCAAAAAGCTTTCATCCTCATCATGACTCACCAACTTTTTTTGTACCAGTCCCAGATAAGCAGATTCAGCACAAAGAAACATTACTGTGAAAATGAACAGACACGAAGGTTGTACAAGAACAGCTGAGAAGAAGCAAGGGCGATAGAATTCAATCTACTCATACCTTTGATGTTGAAATGTTAACCCATTTTAACAAGTTTCATGCACATTCTAAACTATTAAAAGTTATTATTGGATGGGTTAGAAAATGCAAAATATTTTCATACGATATATTGTAGTATAAATCAGCTGGTGATTAGATGCAAATTTCCGTTTGATAAAAGGAAAAAGCAACAAAATGCCTACCTTTCCTTGCATTGTTGAGCAAACTGTGGAAGCTAATTGAATACCTGCACCCATTCCAACAACATTGAAAAGGGTGGAGATAGCTTCCCCTTTGGCAAATAAATCGCTGAGATTGCCCTCTTTGACAAAAGAAGAATATATTGGCAATCTCGTAGCTCTTGCAGCAACAACTGCCATTCCCTGAACAAGTAGATTATCCATGACTAAGTGCAAGATACAAATGTTTTTGTATATGAATCATTGTTCTAAGTAGAGGTAGTTACATTTCCATCACTCTACCGTAATGTGCACATAAATCCCACGTAGCTTAACAATAACGCCTAATAAACAATTCTTACTAAAATGTGGTTGCAATATTTTTCATTCAATTTGACAGGAGTGGAAGATATTATTCTACTCATGAAAATCATCCTAAACTGATAATAGAAAAGGGAAAATAAAAAATATTAAATCAACATATAAAAATGAAAGAAGAGAATAGAAGAAATTGGGAGGAGAAGGGTCAGTGGTTAGGGTTGATGATGGCAGCATTAGATCTTTACAGACAAAGGGGTGGCGACACGAACATGAACAGAAGCACAACAGCATCAGCGGATCCCTCGTGTGGGCAGGATTTTCCAATACGACTGCCAGACCATGCTCTTGTGTAAATGAGTTGAGGTTCATGGTTCTCCCTTTTATATGATATAATTTTAGTTATAACGCCAATAAGGCTTTCAGCTTTCAAATTAGGAGATCCAAAACCATCTAAAATTGAAATTGAGGCATAAAGAACATTATAGATGCCACAAAGCACATCTCAAACAACTAAGCCCTACAACTCATAAGCCCGCTGTGAAGCCAATGCTTCAAGGCAATTTGTGAGTACCTAATCCTAAGGCACATCTCAAATTACACAATTTAAAACATTAGTGTAAACAAGATTGCAATTTGTGAACTGGCATATCATGCAAACACCTATACTTGTAGGATGTGGGACATGGCTGGTATATTATGCAAACATGGCGTGACAAATCCATTTGCATAGACAAAATATAAAGTAATAAGTCATGAGTATTAAAACAAGTCTCTATTTGCATGCCATTCCACAGTGATTATCAATTCAATATTTATTTGAAATGTATAAGTGGGTTAAGGTTAAGAATGAGAGATGTCTTCCACTTGTATTGAAAGATTCCAAGAAGTCCAAAGGAACTCAAGAAGAGGGGTGCAGATGAAGTAAAAAGTAATACATTAGTGTTAAAAAGAAGAGGAACATAATTCAATGACAAAAAGTAAAACAACTGCATCCAAACTCAAGTATTTAAAGTAAAATAATTTTTGTAGTTCTTATTGATCTTAACTGAATACTTGCTCTTTATTCCTCTTTAAGCCCCTAATTGTTTCAACTATTGTGTGCATAAGTGCAAAATGATGTGGGCCATAAGAAGTCTAAAGCTCTATTTTTGGAAGTAACGTTGGAGGGAGACTTGTTGTTGAAACAAGAGCCGTTATTTTTGGTGGCTTGAGTAAGATCTGTTATTGGAAAACAAGTGGTTTTTGGGATAGTAATGGAGGGAGAGTTGTTGCTAGAATTAGTGCTCTAGGAAGAGTTGTTACATCGGGAAGGGGTAAAGCCAGAAGGAATGTGATTGGGAGTAGTTGATGTAGGACGGAAAACAGGATTTTTCTAATCGTCTTGAAAAGCAAATCGTCCCAAAAATCTGATACAATTCCTTACTGGAAATCTGAATTAGTTCAGATTTTTCTCACCAAAAACCTGAGAGAAATTCACAGGTTTCTATGCTTGGGAGCAAGGGGAATTAAAAGGGAAGCTTTAGCCTTTAGTCCAGCAATGCATGAACGTGAGAGACCTCTTCCAGATCAGCAATGCCCACGGGACAGCATTGAAGAATTTCAGCCAGCAAAGAAGAATTAAAGAAATGGATTTAATTCCCAAGACAGAAAGCTGATTTTGGCAGATTTCAGTTAATATGGGATTTAGAGAAAAAAAAGGGGATTTCTTCCGTTAGTGAGGTGAGCTGTCCACGGGAATAAATTAAGGGAAAGCTGAGAGGAAATTTCAGATTTCCTAGGTTGGGGCTTTGTGATTTACAGCCAGCATCAGATTGGATCCCAAAATCTTTTCCAAAGGGGAGCAAAGTTATGTGGACAGATTTTGAGAAAATCTGTAAAGGAGGTTGACGGGAATAAGGGGAAGAAATTAGGGAATTAATTCCTAATTCCCCACTACAGATTTTGGAAGGTGGAATGATAAAGGCTTGGGTTTAAAAAAAAAATTCCGGTTTTGGGGGGAAGGAAATTACAACCAGGAGGATTTGGGGAATTGGAGAGGGATATGGGGGCGGGTGAGAGAAACAGGAAATAAGGGAATTGATTTCCTAAATCAATGATTTGATTTAAGAAATAATTGGATGCATTGGGGAATTTGGGAGATTCGGCCAGGGGAAAATTCTCAGATTTTGGATTTATTTCCAAAGAGCTTTTGAGTGAATGAGGGAATTAATGCATTTAATTGAGATTACTCAATTGGGGGTGGAGTTTAGGAAAGAAATAATTAAACCCTATTTGAGTTTGAAATTCAAATAAAATTTAAATTAAGACGGAATTCATGACATTTAATTCCTCATGTCAATTTGAATTTTGAAATTCAAATAGAATTCATTTAGTAACTTTCCAAAAATAAAATGATAAATTAGGAAAAAATTTAAATTTCAAATTAGTGGAAATTGAAAATTTGAAAACCGCCCAAAATTAAATCACTCAAATTAAATTTGAATTACATCATGAATGAGATTCAATACTTACCTACAATAGCTTTCTAATTTAGGAAACTATTTGAAATTCAAAATTTGAAATTTAAAGGATGAAAATAATTTCCTAAATTATTTTAACTCTTTAGGTAAGCTTTAAGATGACATTGACTCCTCATTCATGGAGACAAACAAGGGTGGCCGGCGGTGGAGGAGCTAATGGGGAAGGTGGCCGGCGGCTATAGGGAAAAATTTGTGGAATTTCGGGTGGAGGTGAATCCGGTGGCCAAACGAAGATGGGGAGGAGGAAGACGATGGAAAAACAATTTAAAGAAGAGATAAAACAAAAACAAAGATAAAACGAAAGATAGAAGACATGAACCGCGAGCCTCGGACTCTTCCGACGACTGACGGGTGATGCTTTGCCCTTCTCCAAGGGACTTCACTTCACGAGCCCGGACCCATCCTGCGGCTGGTGAAAACTTCGATTCCTCTCCATAGAAATCTCACTATCGTCCTCTCTCAAGAGCACAAGTGTGGAAAACAAAATTTTCATATCAATCAACCATCCTCCATTACAATAGCTTAAGGCCCTTATTTATAGGCCATAACATGAGAAAATAGAAAATTGCAAAAATGCCCCTTGGGCCACAACACTCAAATAAATTAACCTAGGGGTAAAATAGAAAATAACATAAAATAGAAACTAAAATGCATAAAATAATTCATAAATGACAACTTAAATTAGAGCCGTCGATTTACGACGCCTCCTGTGATAGATGCGCCAGATCTTCGTGCCGATGTCCGCATCAGTAGTGCTACTAGGTTGGGTCTTATTGGAAGGAGTTGCTGGAGTGGGAGGTATTAGAAGAAGAGTTGCAATTAGGGGTCCCTCAAAAACAACTGGAAGTCGGGTTACTGGGAGAAGTGCTGGATGGAGAGTTGTTGTTGTACGAGATGTTGGACAAGGTGTTGCTAGAAGGACTACAGCTGGAGGGACTATCGACTGTTGTTCCAACGTAGGCACGCAATGGCCTAATAATATTTGAGTTCTGTTATATAAATTATTATAACTTTTGATATTACTTTTTTATTTTGAAACTCTTCAATGACTACAATCATCGGATGCAATCAAGTGTTTTGAGGTGTTATAAAATCCTCAATATTGATTTTTGATAATAAACAGCCCAAAATAATGAAAAACAGAGCAAAAATCTGCAGTAAACAGCAGTTTTTCCCACAAAACTGTAGGAAATATAAGTGAAAACACTAGAAATTCACTAGTAGAAGAAGAAAAACAGCAAGATACAATTGATCCTCTATTCGAGAGGAGGATCGATCTCTCCCAAATCTCTAGACGCCGCTAGAGCCCAAAAGAAAACCTAAATCTAAGAGATCTCCAATTTCAGCCAAATTCAAGATGCCTTAACCCTAGGAAAACAAACTATTTAATGCATACAAGTTAAAAGAAAATCCCTAAACTGTCCTACATTCAATTTTCCGTCCCAATTCCTTCAAAAAACCTTCCAAATCTGCTCGGCGGCCTTCTGCGGCTGGATCGGTGTACAGGCGAGGTGGAGAAATCGCGCCTCTGTCCGACGAACCGGTCCCTATGGGACCAGCTGGACCGTTCTAACAATTTCATGCGTCATCATTAAGGGCAATTATATATGATTACTTATTATGGTAATTTAGCATCATGTTCTTTGCAAAAACCTAATAAGTTCATTAATACAACTAAGTGCATACTATAATATCTACAAATCATAGTCAAATTTTGCATGACTAATACTTCAACCTAATCTTCCATCTACTTCAGTGTACAATTGTTATACACATGGCAAATAATGCAAGCATTAAACCCAATATTGTCAGCTTCTTGAATCCTAAATATCTTACATCACCATATTCCTCGCAGATAGCATTGTAAATTACGGCTAGCATTGATTACAGAAATCCGTTTGCAGTCCTAGCATTTTATCATGATCATTAGGTTCATTTCTGCTAAAGTTTGTAGCGCAATATTTTTTGGTTTAGTAGAAATTGTTCACATCACTGAAAAAAAATTCTTGGCATTTGATAGGTCCGTCACTCAGTCGATTACTTTCAGTGAATTTAAGGGCAACAAATCTCCCGCAGAAATATCTTTTTGATTTGTAGCTTAAATCACACACTTCATCCATTGATGAACTTAAGGGAATTGGTTAGTAACATGGCTATAGTGACAAAGAAAACAAGAGACATGCGAGAGGGTTCCCTCCGTTCGTATCTCAACCCATCCTCTTTGCTCTAAGCTCGGCCGGTCCCCTTCATTTGATCGTAGGTGAATTTTGTCTGCAAGTAGCAGTGGAGGTTTTGGGTTTTTAATTTTGAAATCCAAAATAAGGGTATTTTGAGGAGAACATAGATTTCTTATGAAGAAAAAAAAAATAAGTAACCATACCCATTATAAGATTCATGAGTTAAGTCAACTCCTCTGATCAAGTTTAATGGAAAAGATATAATTACAATTTCGTCGCAAGCATATGGGGATTATGCACACATTATTAAACCATAAGGGGGCTACAGGTGTATTGTGATACAAATGGGGTTAAAGTGTAATTCCCATCTAAACCAAAAGGCACATGGACGCATCATGCTTCATCTACATAAAAAGAGAATTTACAATCGAAGGAACATAAACAATTAAATATATTAGATACTCCACCCACAAGTATTCGCCATAAAGAAAATTAGATAGGAGATGCATTAATTCAACCATGAAGATTGTATTGGACCTTTGCAAAATTACCCAAACCAGCCAACTCAAGGAAAAGTTGGGGACATAATGGAGAAAGAATCTCCAAGCCAGTTCCAAAGTCATAAAGCACATCAGCTGCAAAAAGTCAGTATATGATTTATGATGCTGCATTATTCATACTATATTTTGAAAACAGAGTTGGGACTTTAAAATAAGTGGTAAATTAAAGAAAGGCTGAAACTAAAACAAAAAAGAAACAAGAAGAATACCCAAAATCCTCCAGCTCTTTGGCTCAGAGTCCATTTTTGCTCCCATACTACTACATATGAGTTTTCCGGCATGCTGCATCCCATCCTTCAAAATCTGCCAGCAATAACATTTGAAACCAAGCCATAGCACTCAATATACAAACTTAGATTTTTTATCAGTTATCTTTACGTCTTACCCAACTTACAGCAGTTGCTTGGGCTGGAGTGGGTCGCAGTCCTGCAGCAATTAGCAGCGACTGAAACAACCAACACAAGTAGTCAATCCAAAAGCATGCTACAAACCAAGAGATGAGTACATGATTGAAAATTGCAATTGTTGTTCCTCCCTCGTTTTAAAAGAGTTCATAGAGAATAGATCGCTCACAAAAAACCCTCAAACCACCTCATGTGAAAATTTGAGAACATTATGTATCTTGAACTTAAATATAAGTAGATTTTCCCTGTTATTAGATCGGGATTTAGTAGATCAAAGATTCAAAACTTCCTATGAATGCAAACTCCCTTCATTCATTATCCCTCCCATTCGAGAGAGTACTCTCAATTAAAGAACTAGCTCAACTCAAGCGTTTAGGAAAACATGCTAGGCATTTGCAAGACTTCGGGAAGAGGAATGGAAATAAGTGGTTAACCCTAGCAAGATCCAGAGTTTACCATTAGCCAAGTTACCTATCCTTGGTTATTAAGGAGCTTTGGATGTGCCAATATAGCTTCAAATCAAGGAGCTTTGTGCTATAGCTACAAGGATTACATTAGGGATCTAGATGTGGCTGTTAGAACTAACCCATTGAAGTCATTGAGAATTGTTGTTTACATTAGAACTAAATCAAAATTCTTTCGCTTCTTTGGGAAGCTTCTTTAATCAAGTAACTCATGTTTGCTGATAAGGATGACTTCATACCATTGTCAAGGGCTTGTTAATCGTATGAAGCCTTTGCACCAACTAACAATTAGGACCTTAATCTTTACAATCTGTATTTAAGGTCATATCTTGGGTGCAGTTGTAAAAGCTTACTGAAGCAGAATAATTAGAGCATGGCCTTGGCCAGCTCTTAGGCTTTTGACAACATGGAGCCTTGACCCCAGGATGTACGTGAGGACATTGATTCAAATGTTGTTTGTTTAAGGTTGTAGCTTAAGTAGGTCTGCAACAGCTTACCAGTGTGAAAGATCAAGCATAGGCCTCCCAAGCTTTGAGAAGCATTCATCTTAAGCTACAAGCTAGTAGAACATAACCTTAATTTTAATGTTTTGTCTAAAGGCATAATACAGCACTGGCTCCAAGCTTGTGGTATAGAACCTTAGTATTGCTTGAGAACTTACCCTACATAAATCAAAAACAACTTACTAGGGCGGAGTTTTCAAAAAGCACAGGTACATCGGTGCCTTAACATGCATATTTTGATGTAACCAATGTCATACTACCCTTAGGTAATAACTAGTATCAATTTCTTGCCATTCCTTGGAGTGAAAATAAATGCAGATTCATATAACACATTGATGTGGAAGCTGAAGCTTATATATCTATCACCCATTAAAGTAGAAGTTCATGTTACTAACATAAACCAATACCTTAGCACCAATTCTGCTGCAATGAATATTTTCATTCCACTTAAGGCACATATGTGACTAAGTACATTTATCAACATAAACATCATATCATCCCTTTAGGGCACACTAATTCCTTAGCACATATCTATATTAAGTGCGCCTTAAATGACTTAATAAAGTGATGACTCAACCAAGACCCTAGATCAACTAGGAATCAACAAGAACAAACCCAAGTTTAGGTTACCTTGCTTGATCAACAAAGTCAACATGATGTAATTATGATGAATGACCACGAAAGCAATCAATTACATTATAAAGTGTCTCGTATAGATCTTATGTTAATTTAAAAACCAATACTACATGACATTTTGGTAATTTAGTCTCTAGAGATTATTCTAATAAATTGGCCACTCTTGGGGCATTCCAAATACTTTTTCAATTTTCAATTTTTTTTATATGGCATCGTGAATATCTGAAACATTAGAGGTTTATTTGATCCTTTGGCATAGGTTTGGGTTATTTGAGGCTAGAGATCCATTGGCATGAATTTCGATGAGATATTGTGAATATCAGTTTGTTTGTATTATTATTGAAGACAGTGAATAATTTATAAATACTTAGGTATCCATTAGCTTTCTTTTTCCATGAAAACCTTTTGGCATTACTTGATGTTTTGGTATGCTATTTAGAATAGAAGAAATATTTGATTTGGCAGCTTTTTTTGGCAAAACAAGGAAGTCAATCTAGATTGATTGTGAGTCAAACCCATTAATCATGGGTAAATTGTCATGAATATGACCTTTTGAAGGATTTTTAAAGTATATTTATGTTTTTTGTTTATTTTGCATTTTAATTCTCCCAAGAGGAGCTGTGAAATGGTTATTTTGAAAAATATTTAAATAAATGAAAGATTTTTTTCAAAAAATTAGAGAGCAAAAATATTTTTCCTTACATCTAAATGTCACATAGACCAAATAAATTCAACATCTTCTCTTTCGTACTAATTTTAACCAAAACAATTATTTCATAGAAAAAATAGAAAAATTTATTTTCCCTAGTACATGAGTCGGTTACTACAAGCAATCAAATAATCAGAGTATATGCAATTTTTTTATAAAATATTGCATTATATAAAAAAAACCAATGTGAATAAAAGTGAAGGAAAAAGAAATGGAAATGGATGTATCGTAGTTATGCCAACAACCAGCCTACGTCCACTCCTCAAGTCCTTCTCTAACATAAAGCGCAGAAGCCTCTCTCCTTGACGGCTAAAGAATAAACCAACAACACTTATATTAAAAAAATGATAAGCCGCTACTCCTATACAACCTACTAGGTAATTAATGTTCACTTCCATGTGTGAAACTAGCCACTCCTAACACAAAACACTAAGTAATCAACCTTTTACCAAATGACTTTTGAGATCCAAGATCTCTCTCGCACTTACAACAAGCAAAGCTCACAGACATGTATACAAACTTGAGTACCATAAGATTTGAATGAAGAATATGACTTCGATGTAGAAAACCACTTTCTCTGGAATTTCTTTCTTAAGATTTTCAATTGAAGAATTTTATTTCTTATTACTAGTCGCATCCACTGTATTGCATTAGCAATAATCATAAGCCTTCTATTTAATCAAATTATAAATTAATGTTGTCTTAATTTTAAATTTGAGTTACTAGCTAATAGTATTATGTGATACTAACTTTATGGTATGATATATATCATTTAGTACAATTTGTTCGAAATTCAATCATAATTAATCATTAATGCAAATTGATCTTATCAATTTTATTCAAAAATAAGGCACATTAAACAATACGATACATACCATCTAGCACCATTCTAAGATCAATTTTTATCAATCAAATAAATACTTAGCTAATTAAGTACATCGATGGGCTTAATGTAGCATTTTTCCACAATTCTATTGAAGGCATAAGCAATTAAATATATCTAGAGGTTTCTTTGTTAAAAGAGAACATAATGGAAGGGTTTTGAGTCAATGGTGAGAATTCAAGGAAGCAAAAAAGAGGTGGATTAAGCCTCTTCCTCATATGATTTTTATTTGATAAAGGCAACAACACATGCCACAATTGAAAGCCTAGTGAAGCGTGATACAACGTTATGAGAAGAATAACACATTCTAGCTAGGAGCCTAGCAGTGGAGCCACAACTTATTCCATAAAGTGTACACTGTCTGATGACTCAGTTAGGAGAGTAGATATATTAGATTTAACCTATGTTATGAAAGGTAGAGGCAGATCTAAAAAGAATTGATTATAAAGTATTACAAATGACATTTATTTATTAGATTTATATCAGAATTTGACTCTTAAATGGACAAAATAGAGAAAAAGGATTCATGTTGCCAACCCCACATAGTGGGATAAAGGCTTGATGTTGTAGTGGGCTAATACAAACTACCTAATTGCCCCTTCATTACTCGATTTCATTAATTAACCTGAATTAAAGTTTATCAATGACAGGTAAATGACCTTAAGTAGCTTAATTTGGCCTTAGTTAGTTAGGATAACATAGCTAAACCTAATTTTAATAATGAGGGCACTACTTGGCTTGATCAATAGCTTAGCTTGATTAGGTGGGTTTAATTAATCATTAAGTTTAGAGGTGAATTAGAACATAAAGATTATATTAAATTAGCTAAAGAAAAAGTAAGTACCTGAGTCGACAAAACAGACAATGCAGCACTTGAAAAATGTTGCAATGCTCGGAATTGAGTATAAGTTAGGTATCCTTCATTAACACTGGAAAAGAAATCAGATGCACAATATAAGAATATAATAAAAAAGCTAGGCTGATAGACCATGCCAAGTTTTCCTTCCACTATAAGTAATTAAAAAAGCCCTTCTTTAACCTAAGAAAAGCATCACCTTTTAGGATAACCTGATGGGAAAAACTTGTTAAGGAAGGATTCAACCATTCTACGGATTAATGGCCTTGTATCATTGACAACCTTAACCTGAGTTCATTGTTAATGGCCCAACAAATATTAAAATAAATAGATTGAACTTAACAGTTGATACATAATACTTCTGTTTAGATTTTCTTCAAAGAGAAATAAATAGATGCGGTAAATCATAGAAATTTCAATGATATAACCCTTAGCCGCCCTTCATTTTTATCTAACAGAATTCTCCATAAAGACAAAAAAAAAAAAAACTTTACCTTGAGGCGACCATGAGAATCAAATTGGCAGATGTGAGATATGGAGTTTGAAGTCTCAATCCAAAATTCAGCGCATTGAGCCGCATTATTTTCTTGCTCCTTTTTCCAACCCATAAATTTCTACTGGAAATTGATAAATTCTGAGGGGGTGTTAGACAAAAATTTTTGAAACAATGGATGTGCAAACAACAGATTATGCAAATAAAAATCTTTGCATTTTTAATACTAAAACAAGAAAATAGACTTGAACTCTTTTAGAAGGAGAGTGATCGTCACTTGATGAAAGATTATTGCATGCCTAAAGCTACCACAATATAGCATGATTTTGAACAAAGTGCTAAATCCCTTAAGATGGAGATTAATTGTAAAACCCGAAATTCGTCGTTTGAGTGTGTCGCACGCATATCGATGCGCCGCGACGAACTTAAGTGAAATTTCGATGTCGTCGGAATTTGACGAAATAAATTTCATTAGATTTCTCTCGAAATTTCGAGCAAAACGGTATAAAGAACTTATATTAAATTTCGTGCGGATTTGGAGTTAAAATTCGCCGAAGTGCTTTAAGTAACTTTTGGCTAGACTTTCCATTTTTACCCCTAAGCCCTCTTAAGGGAAATGAGTTTGGCAAGGGCACATGCATAAAATGGCATTTGCATTTCTCTAAAATCCCTCATAAGCCCTAAGGGACCGAAACATTTCGGTCCCTTGTTGTTTTGTCGAACACCCGAGGTTTACATATAGTCGACGAGCAACGGGTGACAGGTTCTTACTGTTTTGTTTTAGTTATGAATTTTTTGGGTGGTTTTATCATGAATGACTAGATTGAATTTATACCACCTTGTACATGATCTTCTTTTGTGATGGTTTTAAATGTGATACTTATTGGAAAAAGTTTAGAGGCGCTTTTATTATACTTTTATTATTTTTAGAATTTCATGAAACTGATGATGAGCACTTAAATTACATGTCCGATCTCGTTCCCGCCTCGTACCTACGAGCTCACCGGGCCGGATCGTGACATTAATATAATTAGGGGCTCAAATATCAGAGGGAGGAATTGAGAACATTCCAAGACTAAGCCTCACTTTTTAAATAAATGTGGTATTCTTTATGTTGGTTCTCATTTATCTAAATCTCAAATACCACAAATCTTCATTACAGCACACCAAAAAAACCAATCTAATATCCATTTATATCTTGTGTTGGTTCTATCAGGAAATGTCTGATGGTTTTTGTTTGCTAAATATTGAGAAAAAAAGAATGCTAATGCAAGAAGCACGTTTTGAATCATATCAACCAGAAAATGTCACAAAAATGCAAAGCAAATATTATTGTTTTATGGTTTTGGCTAAGTAGGTTAGGATTTCTAAAGACTTAATTATGAAGGGCAAATGGGCTTTCCAAAAGACAGCCATGTCTCTCCCCCTTATTTGCCACTTTCTCTCCTTGCCTCCATATCCCCTCCTCTTCATGTAGCATCCCTCTATTCCTCCTCCCCTACCCATCCTCTCTAAACCTATCTCCTTATAATCCTCTGGAGTCTTTACACACCATCCATAGAACTCCCTACAATGCCCCCAACCTCCCCTTCCCACCCCATCTACATCAACATCATATGGCCGCCAAATCACACCCCACACCTCTTTTAAGCCACAATCCATCAAAGATAGTTCTTCTCTCGCCCTAATCTTGCATCCTCATTCTAGGATAAGTTAGCTTTACTAAAAATGCGGACCAACATCCTTTCATTTAGTTGTTGAGTTATCCTTGTTCATATCATTAGAAATTAATTATATTTCTCTCCTGGGTATTAGAGGATAAAAAAGTTTGCGTTGGAACGATTAAATATTGTTGACTTACATAGAGTGGCCCCAATCACCCTAAGATGAGTCAACACATGAAGTTTCTCCTTACTAGGATACGAAAACATACTCCCACTAGATTTATTTGTAAAATTATTTATTCTTTTTTTAAGACAAAAAAGTATCAAAATCAAAACTCAAAACTGAGAACAAGTTGTTTGTTTATTGAAAGATTGGTTAATATGAGCAAGTAATCAGTTTAGCATGTCAATGTAATAAATGCACCATAATTCATAGATTATTGATTTTTTAAATAAAATCCTATTAAAATAAAAAATAAGTGAAAATAAGATGATTCAAAAAAAAATTTATGTAAGAAAATAATAACATAGGCTTCCCTGCCTTTACAACCATCTTAATCCATCCGCTCTTTAAATTATGGTCGTAAATTAAGAGCAATTGCATGCCACCAGGAAAAAAAGGAATTCAATTCCTACATTGCATGAGACTGGGAACGAAAACAAAGTTAGCTATAAGTATGCATATATAAAAAGTGATTTATAATTCCCTATGGCTGATAATGCACTAGTGTGAGTGTTCACTCTAAATTCACCAGAACTTAATAGGAAATTCAATAACAATGCATTCAAGGAAACAATGAAGTGAAAGAGAAAAAATCAAAACTAAGGTTCAAACCTAGTCCTCAAGACCCGTATTCAAAGCAAGGGCAGTGAATGCTCATCATTGATTTGTTTTATAGAAAATATAGATCAAGTTATCTTTAAAATCCAGTGCACAAATATTAATCAGGGAAATCCAATGCACAAATATTAATCAGGGAAAGGGCATTACAGAGAACTGTAAGAGCTAAAAGATGAGGACACTTGTTGAGCTTGACAAGAAGTTCCAAAACCCTAGCAGTTTCGACAGCTCCGCTCAGTAGCAAGCATATTGTTTTCCAATTTCAAGCATTGAGACATTGAGCCTACAACAACAACAACAACAAGCCTTTATCCCACTATGTGGGGTCGGCTACATGAATCATTTTTTTTTTCCATTATGTCCTGTTAAGAGTTAAATTTTCATTTAAATCTAATAAAGAAAGGTCATTTCTAATATTTTATAATCAGGTCTTTTTAGGTCAATTTCTACCTTTCTTGATATAAGTCAATTCTAATACATCTACTTTCCTAAACGGGTTATCGGAAGTCCGCCGTTTTATGTGATCAAACCATCTAAAACGACTCTCACTAGTCTTATATTATTGAGACATTGAGCCTAGTGATAACTATCAGCAAACTAGAATTCATACACAAAATTAACTTCAGAATTTGATTTTCAAAATTGGAGAAAATTGGGGATAGGAATCATAGGGCACTCGAGATAAAAACCTTCTAAAAGTTATTCACTTATCAGAAGCCACTGATGATTAAATTAATTTTATCATTTTTTATAAATTCAAGAAATATATTTTATGAAAAATGATTCTTATATATGGCATATTTTATCAAAAACATGTTTTATCTTGTAATTTTATCAAAAACATAATAAATCTTACATATTTTATCAATAAAATTTGATATCTTGCATATTATATCTAGTATATATTTTCGAAACAATATGTTTTCGATAAAATCTAAGCTTGTAATTGTCTATAGGCAAAAATTGCAGCTAAGAAGTTTCGATATAACATAATTATGTCTGAGTTGGATTAAAGACTTGAAAAGATGTTCAGACATATAATAGAAAGTGGCAATGAAATTTAGATTTCTAACTCTGAAGTATTGCCTCCTAAATTAAGAGAATGTCAAAGATATTCATCATTTGAGGAATCGAGCCCAGATGATAAACCGAATAATGTCTTTACTAATTGTTCTGAAGATGGTAGTGCGGGTATCACACAAAGACAAAATAGATCTACTTGCAGTAACAATTTCATTAACTTCATTATATGTTCTCAAAGTTATGTTAAATGATGAATTTAGGTTGATTATTTGTAAAGTTTTCTATGAACTTATAATATATAGTTTCTTTTTTAGATGATTGTATCCATCTTTTTAAGATTTTATCCCATATTATGAAATATGAAATTTATTGGTCAACTGAAATGTCGATATAATTGGGTTTTGTTTCCAGAGCATTATCAACCTCAGAGAATTATAGATTAATTTTTATATCCCTAAGGCAATTTCCTCAATATCTTCCTCAAAATCATCAAAATAAATATTTGGCTCCTCCGACGACACAAAGAAACAACTGCAACATATACAATAAATTTAAGGAGTTTTCATTTAACTTGTCAAGAATGCATCATTCATAGAGCCAAAACCATATATGATCTACAATTGCAGCTATAAAACCATAAGTAAAACGGATTCAGCATTCCATCAACATAAGTAAAATGCTAACATCTTATCATTTTAAATGTTTTAGCTAACATTGCAACACAAAAATACATCTAATCTTATAAAAAATCATAAGCTACATCTGTTTAATAATTCCCCACTAAATTCAGGTACAGAGAAGAGAAAAGCATCAATTAAACTGATAACACTACAAGATGTTTTATCCATTGCAGATGGGAGATCAGCACACCATAGAATTCCTTATTTCTCAGGAAATTGACTACTTCAAAAGAGTAGATTTTGATCAATGGATGAGATCCAAGCGAAGCAGAAGAGAAGGCAAATTCATGTCTAGCTTTTGTGCACTAGTTGATAAGCAGGAGATTTATTAACAAGTAGGAGAAAGGAAAAAGTGCCTTCCTGTTGCAACGCATGTATTCATTCAGAACTGGGACATGTTAGATAAGATGTAAGCACTTTTATTTCCCAGTGTATTTGCTTCTGCAAATTGCATAAATCATAGTATGCAAGTGAATGAAAATGCTAATGAATAAATTGATCATTCCTTGTATGTATATGCTGATGAACTATTCTTAATAGCCATAACTTTCTTTTAATAAAAAAAAAATGGTGGTTGAAAACCAAAATAACAATGAATATATCACATAGCTTCAAGCAATTCACAACACTGCTGAAATTTATCAAACCAGCAATGATTCCAATCAAATATTTAAGAATTCCAACGAAAGCAGCTGCAAAAAATCCTTTACCGTCTTATACATAACCTTTCGTATGTATATATATATACACACACATGGTAAGATGCAACTATAAATGTTTTCACTAAAAGCAAAACCCAACTATCTAAAATTCCAGTTGACCAATAAATTTCATATTTCATAATATGGGATAAAATCCTAAAAAGATGAACACAATCATCTAAAAAAAAATTGTATATTGTTAAGTTCATAGAAAACTTTACAAATAATCAACCTAAATTCATCGTTTAACATATCAACAACTTTGAGAACATATAATACAATTAATGAAATTGTTATTGCGAGTAGATCTATTTTGAGGAGATCTTTGTGTGACGCCACATTATCATATTAAGAACCATTAGCAGAGATATTGTGAGATTCATCTTCTGGGGCTTGATTCATCAAAGGATGAATCTCTTTGATATTCTCTTAAATCATGAAGCATTCCTCCATAGTTAGAAACCCAAATATCATTGCCATATTCCAAAATGCTTTTGAACATCTTATCAAGTCTTTATTCCAACTCAGGCATAATTTCATTATATCAAAACTTCTAAACTGCAAGTATTGCCTGCAGAAAATTACAAGTTTAGATTTCAAATTCATAAAAGTTTATTGAATTGTAAATTTGAATGGAAATTTAACGATATAAAGTTGTAACTCCTTTTACCACCACTCAAAAGCATCTATAGTATTCTTTAAAAGATTCCATCCTAGGCCAATCTCGTCATGATTCAAGTCTTTTCATACCTTTCACTCCTTTTTTAGTTGATCTCATTTATTATTCAACTATGTTCGATCATACGTTCTTCCCGTTCCCTCATTAAAATTTTTCATTAAGTTCATCCATCCATCTTTACTAAAATGAGTAGTAGACCTATTTTCAATCTATATTTCTTTTATGGAGAGGTCACACAATTAAAATAAGTTTTATTTTCCATGTTGCAGGCGCACCACTATCCTTTTCAGATAAACTAATTAACTGCTCATACAAGCTTTGAGACCGATCCTCCCACCTAGAACTATTGCAAATCTGCTTGATATTCAAGATGAAAGTAAGAGGGTTAAAAGTCAAATCTTCTATCTTCAAAATCCTCTTCTTGATCACCTGCGCCTAGGCTTCAAAATGCATCTGGACTATAAGTACAAGTGCATGACAGATATAACCGGCGGCTTAAAAACACGAAAGCAAACCACAAAAACAGTAAAAAATAAAAATCAATGAGTGATATGTATTCTAGAAATGTTAGGATAAAGAGCAAACTGACCTCCTTCTCCTCCGGTTTGGGTTTCTCTTCCTTTTTCTCTTCTTCCTTGTTTTCCAACTTCGGTAGAGGCAGGCGAGTTAGGAGCTCCAACTGACGACCGCTCTTCTTCTTCGGTGGAGGCAGAGGAGGACTGCAGGAGATGGCGAGCTGCGCGAACAAGCATGTGACGGGAAAAATATACGTTGAACCGGAAGAACTGAAGAACATACGCTGATACGCGACATGTTCGAAAGAATTATAGGGTTTTTTTCGCCTTCATTAATCTCAGCCGTCGGATACCGTCCGATGTTCGACACTAAACTCAAACTGAACGGTTATCGGAAACCGGCACCGGTTTAGCGGTTCGGCGGTGGAACCGCTGGTTTGAGCGGTTCAACACCGATTTTATGCAAAGCAGGTTTTATAATGAACCGTGACCGGCCGGCCAGCCGGTTCGCGATTCAACCGGTTGAACCGATCGGTCCGATCTAATTTTAAAAGCCTCGATAAAATGTCGTTTTTGAACAAAAATTATATTTTCCAAAAAAAACTTTTTTTTTTGTTTTAAAAGATTATTTGATTTGAAGTAAAATTAGTTTAAAATAATTTTTTTATATGGGTTTAAGAAATATTGGTATTTAATTGAATTAAAAAGTAAATTTAAGTAAAAAAAATGCACTATAAAGCATGTTAGTTTACTATGAGGTAGAGTAAACTTGTTCAATTCTGAACAAAAAACAATTTAGTACAAGCAACTTCTTTGTTATTGCCCAGCACCGACCGTTGACTCCACCAGTCACATACCTCCACTACCACAGTTGCCCATTGCTATTGTCATATTTTGATTTTTATTTATATTTATTTTATTTCAAATCAAATAAAAAAATATTCACCAGTATTTATTTCACACTCATTCAAACAATACTAGAGTATTCATTTTACATTGTATTTATTTTACGCTATCTTTTTTTCAGTCAACCAAACATATCTTATATATCATGCAGTCAAGTACTTATTAAAATCTTTATTGTTTTTTTTTTTTTTTTCCTTTTGACATCACAAAGCAACTAAAAAGTTGTATTAAATTGGTCATAAAATAATTTTATCATTTTTGACAAATTTAAGAAACTTATTTTATGTCACGTTGCCTTCTAGAAGTATAATATGGGTTATGAGTTTTTATGATTTGCTTTGAATTATTATGAGCTTAATTTTTTAATTAATTTAATCATAAATTCATATACATCTATTTATATGGGTCTTCAAATCTATGATCTCATAGTGGGAACTAAAGCTCTCAAATACTCAACTATGGTGGGTTAGAATGAGTGTGTTAAATCAAATTTTATTTGTAAATGGCTCCGGGCCTTAATCACAAAATTTTGTGGGATCAATAATAAGAAAGAAAGTTAAGAGAGAGATATATATAGATGAAAGAAAGTCTTTTTGGGATTTATGAAAATGTGCATAAATGAAATACCAATGATGTTGTGCACCCACTTCCCCCTAGACCCTCTATTTGAGGCTTGGTATTATATATAATACATAATATTTTGTTGTTTTCGTTACAAATGACACAGTCATACATATAAAAATTTACTCTTAGGTGATAATTGAGCATATTACATGTGTTTGATTCGCTAGAATATTGATATTGAGTTGATTTGTTACCTTATACAGGAGCATAGTCATCACATTTGCAAACTAACTAACTATATCATCGCGAGATAATTACGTCTTGAGTATGTTTGTCTTTCACTTCTTTGGGTTAAGTTGGCCATTGGCAAGTACTTAGTAATCCACCAAGTTCATGATCTCTGGCGGGTTGGATGTTTTGTCGAGTTCATGAGCAATGACGAGCTTGTCTTGCCAAGATGCCTTGAACCTTATTTCCCTATATTAAATCAAACCCGTAGGACATATATAGGTGTACATTTAATTCCATGGTTCTTTTGCATATTTGGATGGTAACTATAAAAAGGCAAAATAATAAAACATTTAACTTTTTTGTTGTGTTAGTGATTTAACATGAAACTCATAATATGTTCTTTTAAAAAGTTATAAACAACTTCCCTTTCCTTCAAAGCTTCATTCAATTTTACATCTCCCTTTCTTTAAGAACTACATATCACATTAAGATACTATTTAACGAGGAGGTTGTGTGAAGATTAGTACAATGAAATAAGGATCATGAGCCTAAGAGAGATTTGGGAGACTCCTCTTTTACTCCTTCTTGAATAAGATAGAGGAAGTTCATTAGAGTATGGGAGACTCCTCTTTTACTCCTTGAATAGGATAGAGGAAGTTGATTAGAGTATGAGGAACATAAGACCTGATGAACTTTTAATTATTAGTGACCTTCTTTGCATATCTCATCATGTCAAAGGGGATAATGATTGTTTTCCCTAGCATATTCATCATGGAATGAGACAAAAAAGCACTTGTGTGATGACAACAATATTCTTTCTGGCATGGTGCCTTCTATTGAGGCTTACTAGGTGTTCTGTTCCCTTTTCCTTATTGAAGAAACAAATATGAGGGTTAAGGATGATGTCACTATTATTACCCTTGAGGGTGAGGCAATGGTGCGAGATCCCCTTATTAAGTGTAAATTTTGCATTGTTTTGCTACATTAAATATCAATAGTAAATATTTATTTTAGGTTTTGTTGTGCAAGAATATCTCAGAAAAAGGAGAAAAATTCATAAGTGTTGAAACAACGACGCAGCGCTCCAACTACCTGTGCTAAAACGTCCAGAACACCCAAGTGTTAGATTAGAACATCGTAGCATCATAGCCTCAGGAAAAATGTCAATTAATTCAATGCTCGATGGAGCCAAGGTCAATGCCACAACACTTCACAACGTCGGAGCATCAAAAATCAGCATTGTAGTGTCGGAGTCTCGAGAATTTAAGCGCAGAAGCACCGAACTGCACAATGTTACAGTGTCGTACTACACATTCAACCTACCACATCGCTCAACATTTTTAGCATCATGGTTGAGGAGTTGCCAAAATGAGGAGCCATGCTGACTCAGTCAAAAGATGCGTCAATTCAGCCAATAAACACAGCAGGTCAATTGAACGCCGTAGCGAAGGCCACTTAATAGAGTTGAGGCTCTAGTTCGGTTTATAATGTCGTAGCGCAAATCTATCGAGAGTCGAGGCTTCTGAGTTTTTTTTTTTTACTAATATAAATAATTTTTAGTTCATTCTAGTGAGGGGTTCTGTCATTTCATATGAGTTAAGTCATTTTCTATGAGTTATGATAGCTTAAGAAAAGTGACACCTTATAGTAAAGTATAAGGGAGGCCAAGGGAGAAAATACATCATTTGGGGATCATTGGCCAAGCTGACTTTTAAAGTAAGAAAGAAGTGTGGAGAGTGAATTTGTATTATCTGGGTGATATTTATTTTCACTTAGACTCTTGTACTTTCTCTTTTATGCAATCAATATATTTTATGTTGTTCTATTTTAGTTTCATGGCTAGTTAATTATTCAATTTTGGGCTAATGGGGTGAATCATTTGTTGGTACTAATGTTGACTCTTGTGCTTTATTGAATTAATGGATATTTTCAGTATCTCTCATTCATAATTTCATCTATATAATGGCCATGTGTAGAGTTAAAACATAGTGGGATATATTATCTCAATGAAGGAATATTGGAACACTTAGAAGTATTAAAATGGAACTCATGTATACCTAGATATAGAATGTTTAATGTTCTAGAGTCTATTAATAATTAATAATTGTAGGAGAGTCTTAAACATTCCTTCACTTTCTTATAAGCTCGATGGAGATCTAAATATGTATATACTCTAATTCACAACCAACTTATAAATGTGTACTTAAGAAAGCTTTGAAACTTCACAATCATTAGTCCAAAATATTATATCAACTGGTATATTTTCTTTTCTCTTGCAATTTTCAGTAGATGAAAAATTCAAAACCTCAATTTTTATTGGTAGGATAAATATTGTAGCTAGAGTAGACAATACTAGAATATTTACATTGTAGTAGAGCACTTTCTCATGGGATCGACGCTCTCATATCATCTTTATTACTTGATTGACACATGCACTTGTGTTATTTAGTGGGCTTTTATATTGAAGAAAATCTAAGCATATTTCACGTACATCTGTCTATCGCACACACCTACACAACCACCCCCAAGATGTGAATTTTGTTGTCTTCATAGTAGAGCCCTGCATTGGGTACCCATACCCACACCCACCCATACCCAATGTGTATAGGTGGGTATAGGTATGCCCATGACCTTATGGGTGGATATGGGTGGGTACTCAACATCGAGGGATAAATCGATGTATATTGCTAATCATCGTATATATTATATTACTGCAATCCTCACTACGTAATATGCAACACTTAACCAAGCTGCGACTATGGTAAATTCTAATATGTAGCTTAAAAGTTTGCAATCAGAGCAAAGTGCAACAAGCCTCAAGGCCATCAGTCAGTGGCAGACTGCGTTCAAAAAGCATGGAAAGTGGATGGGTATAGGTGGGCACGTCATCCCGAAAGTCACCATGGGTGGGGGTGTGTGGGCGAAGCCCGTCCAAGTAAAATATGGATACCCAACCAGGACCTCATGTAGGGCTTTGCTTCATAGGTGCTGTAATAGCCCGTATTTTGACTCAAATAAATAATTCTTTTCAGGATCATTATAATTCTAAATCATAAATCATTTTCACCATAACATAGATAATATAGTGATTTAGTTATACCAATTGTATGTACGAGTGTCACCAAGTCCTACATAATAAAAGAGAGGTCTTAAAAAAGTTGCATAAATTATATATAATCAAGAAGCACGCCGAGGCTAGTATGCATGTCCCAACATAATGAAGGAGCCTCTCTAGAGGTCCGGGGAACTATGACTCATAGATCGACACATAAAATGATATGGCTCACAAATAACACAAAGAAGATACATATTTAAAAAAAAATGATATATAAATGATACTTTAATATATGAAATGATGCATGCACACGATGACCTAGGCCTACATATACTAAGAGAAGTAATTTTATAAAGTTTTGTGTCAGATAGTAGCCCATAACTTTGAAAAATAAAATACATAACCTAGAGATCTCATCAAGACTAGATAAAAAAATTAGCGGATGTAAGGAATATCCCTTAGTTTGTTTTGTCCAAATTTGTCCCAAGATATGCAAGATTGAGGAGTAATTTAAAAAATACTCTATGGGTTT